TCCATTCCTTTGTAAACACACACATTATATCACGATATTACATTTCTTTGATTTTTTCTGAAATATTTCATACTATCGTACATGTACAGTATTTAACTACAATTAAATATTTTCACTACAATTAACAATTTTGGGGAAAAAAATAACTTGTCAAAGTAATTTATCTCAATTAACATATATTAACATATATCAAGTATTAATACTGTCATTCGGATTTTCTTCATATTAATGTTATCCTTTACTACTCGCCAGAAAAGAAAGTAAAATACGACTCTTACGAATTTTTCAGCGACATCGTGGTGTGGGCTCTACGTAAATAACGTAATTACTTTTTCAAAAAGAATGTTTATTAATGTTATCGAAGTGCTTTTTAAGACTCTGTAACAAGAATTGTCGTCTCCTTTTACGACTATACTTATAGAGTACCTAAACTAAAGGGAAGGCAATAACGTTTTTCTGTGAGTCCTACCGCGATAAGTTCGGTTGCGTGTTTTTAAGGATTTACTAAGCAAAGGATAAGGAAGCATCAAAAACATTGATTTCTAATAATCTAGAGTCTACTAACTGACTTCCACTCTGTATAGAAAGACTCTATTTGAGAACAACGTTTTTAGAAAATGTATGATTAAAACAGTATGTGACATCTTATCATAAGACGAGGAATAATTGAATATCTAAAATTAAGTGTTAGTTATAAAATGTTTACTATTCGAGGATTCAGCTATCGAAAACGTACAATAACAGTAGTGGTTTTCATATGCACTAATTCTCCAATATTTGAAGATTTCTTTCATATGTAAATTCAAGGTGAAATATGATGCAGACCAGACAGATATGTGTTATGCTATGCTCAAGTCAAACCATTCTATGGCAATTATGTGTAGTGGACAAAGAAATCAATGGTGGACAAAATTGTCCAATTTTTTCGGACAATCATCGATTTCAGTGATATGAAGTATTGTAGACGGTGATTAGAACGTTTCATGGAATATTCAGTGACAGATTGACTTCCCAGTAATTGAAGATATTTGAATTCATAAGAATAGATGAGACACTGTGTGTTACGAACAGTTTGAGCTTCCCATTTTTTAAATAACGCTGAATTACTTCGACCAATGCCAGGTTTTTTATTTGTGCAATATAGAGATTCTTCACTTGCTTGCTTTCCACCATTCTTTTGCGTTGTTCAGAGAAACCGCATGACACTAAAGGTAGAAATACATTACTATCGCATCACGTGAAATCACATACTATCACATAGCGTATTGCATATAAACAGCATGACGCATGTCGAATGTATCGGATTACGCTTTTCGAATGTTATGTGAAATCACGTGCTATGACGTGATAGTAACGTGTTTTTACACTTTTTACCTTAAGCAGTTAGCCATAACGTCTTAACAGATGAAACGTGCGACGTATTCGTTAAAACGACACGATGGTGGGAACAGTGTTTATCACCCGGGAGACAATTTTGGACAGCGTTGGCTTAAGTTAGGGCCAAACCGTCCAAATCGTCGCGAACTGTTCTTTTATCACGTTCGGGTCATAGACCATAGGTCACGGTTGGGTAATATCAATGTGTTCATCGGTGGTGCTTCGCTTTTGTAGTGTGTAGTTTGAGTTATGTTATCCGTACAAGTACGCAACGTTGCGGAACGATTCGATTCAGACAGAAACAAAGTAGTACTTATACCACCAGTTCACGCTTGGCAAGAACAGGCGACAGACGTAGAAAGAACGATGCAATATCTTTCATTATGAGGTGTTAGTAGCCGCAGGATACAGGCTTTGCGTCGCATGAAACCATGTTAAATAATCGTGCTCGCTTTAATATTCTTAATCGAAATAATTGTACGTGCTCATATTTATTTCATCGCCGCTGTTAAGTTACATCAAGTTCAGTTTAGTGGATTTTGTGTGAGTTTAATTTAATTTAATTCTTACAAAAATTTTTCTTGCTGTGTTATGCTCGTCTTGTTTGTTTTCGTGATCTCATTCTTAGTTCAAATCCTTTCTTTCGGTATCATGTTAGAGTTCTAAACACTGTTTAAACATCGTTTTGTTCTAAACACTGTGCCTTTACACGCAAAGATATAGCTATGAACGTGAAATACAAAATGTCATCTTCATTTGATGATATTGTAGTGATCAAAATTTATTTAAAAAGAGAAATAATATTGTTGTCATGTTCAAGCAATAATATGAAAGAAGAAATGAGGTATATAGTGATTTTATTTATGTGTGCTTATAATTATTCGATGCTAGTATTCTATGTAAACACTATTTCATTGTACGCCTTGTACACATTTAATATTAATAACACCATAAAAAGTATAATAGATACACATTACCACATCAATACCAATGGTTAGCTTCCGGAGAATCTTATAAATTGAACATACGGAACAAGTCGAATTCATTTTGAAAACGAATCAGTCACCCAAGGATAGGAGAACCGTAAAATACGATACGCATGTTTTAAATGTCTTAAAATAAAAAATATTATTATATCATTATTTAAAGTACAACAAAATAATTATAAACCTAACACTGCAAAGTACGTACCGTTCCAAAATTCTCAATGTTCATTTCGTATATCCCTCCTGCTGTCAACTTACATGGTTTACTAGATCTCATTTGCATCATGTGAAGTACTCTTTGAACATTTATTGGCATGTTGTACCACATTGAGCGGTATCTATTAGATATAAGATTAATACAGATGTTATACCGAACTGATGATTTTTCTAACGTTTAAAACATATTTGTTAACATACATATCATTAGTCAACTCGAAACTATGATCCGTGATTACTTGACCAGGTAGGGTAATAATAAGCAAGTGGAATTGTTGAGCTACAAGGAACAGACCAATTCTGAGAGCTTCTTCAGGTTGATGGAGATTCATAACGGCCTAATTAAAAGGTATTAATAGGTTTCAGTGTTTGGTTTATTAATATTTTCTATAATTGCAAAATAATTCTTACTTGTACGGCTGTTACGGTCATGCCGATCATAGTCAGTAAAATTTGAAAAAAGTAGCTTCTACGGCTGCTGTCATCTAGCATCTCGAATAATCTTAAAATACAACGAAAGAATAAGTCAACTTTTATTATAACTTCTTAATTATATCGTTATATAATTATAATTCTATCGTTACTAACTGGAGGGCATCGTTATGCATAGTCAAGCACTGCCTGAGCCATTCAGTGTAAGTTTTATTTGTGTCAACATCAGTAGATTTTCGTGCTGTTATGAGGGCCTGCCTACATCATTGTCAAATATCTCAGTGAAACTGTAAAACTGTTACATCCTGTCTGATTTCGATGATTTTTAAATATGTTATAAAACTCAACATTTTAAGCAACTTTTTCCTTTACATGTAACAGTCAGTGGACCATAATTTCCAAGATATTAGCAAAAATCCAACGATATCACGACAGTGAATTCCTTCTATAATATAATTGTACGTCCGTAACAGCGTACGTGTTATCATTGGTTGCTAATTATGTAACGGGCTTGTATAATAACTCTGTTATCAATAATAATAATTAATGATAACTTGTATAATAACTGCATACCCGAGGTTGCAAAAGATGCCTGTTGTATACGTATAACTTATAGCTCGATTTAAAAGTGAATATCATCAACGTGTTAGTTTAGATTTTGGTTAAAGTTACATGATAGTTACATATAAAAGAAAAAGCTGTTCAATTTGTTGAGTTTCATAACATATTAAAAAATCATCTAAATCAGAGAGGACTTAACAGTTTTACAAATTCACCAGTATCTCAATAGAAAATATCATTTTTATTATTTTTCACAAATACTGTAGCGAATGAAGGAAATCACTAGATATCCTTCCGCTATATCTATACTTGTACATATTATTATATACTTACCCACATATGGCAAATAAGGCGCTATCATGATGAACAATTTGTATGTATAATGAATCGATAGTGACTGCAATCATCGTTATTATGAATGCACACCAAAGTGAATGAAAATATATAGGATAAAAGTACTGATCTTCATCTAGAAAGTATGTTACTCTAAACATTTGTTCTCGATGACGAGTTTCATTGAGCGGTGAGATGATATCCAAGATCACAGGGGACAATGGAATAATTATAAATCCTGACATACATGATAACATAAAAGCTGAAAATAATATTAATAACGTCATTTGTATAAAGATTATGAAAAATGTTGGTATATAAAGACATGGTCAATGTGTAAAATTTATCAAAAAATAAGCCACAACAATTACTTCTATATATTTCACCAAGCTTCTTTCCTTCTTTAGTAATTTCCTTAAGAATTTGCGCTTCGCTCTTATCGTTTAACAATTCCCAATCTTTCTTTATGATATGGAACATCTTTTCGAACTAGAAAATAGTTACATTTTATAATCTTTAATTTCATCATTGGATTTATTTTTATAAATTTATATACATTTTCCTTGTAAATTACATGATTTAACAATTTTATTAAGACAGCTGTTAACGTAGTTATTACAGGTATGGCTTCCAAGAACTTTGCCACATCTTTTGCGTATAATGACGTATAAATTTGTACAAACTGTTAAGTAAAATCTCTAATTATATTGTATCCAATATCTTTTTATCAATTTCATGTAACTAGTCTTCACAATATTTATTTAACAACATAAATATTTTTCACATGTTTAACATATCTATAATAATTTTACTTACACCTGGATAATGTAATGTCAATAGACTGCCTATCATCACGGTTAGATTAAGTTTCTTACTCCAGCGCGATTGATTTGGAAACTGTCCCAAGAATAGTAGATACTTTTTAAATACTTTGTAATAAGAAATATCAAATACAGTGCTTGTGCGTCTTTCATTCTTCTGAAACACTAAATAATATATTTTTATTTTGTTATTTCAGGTTGCATTTCGGTTTTGTAATGACCTTCAGTTTACATTGTACAAACATACATATAAACAATAGCATTAAACAATATATATATATTTGATATAACAATATAGTAATGAACGACATGGAAAATATTTTAATCGTGATATGTGTGTATTGCATATTCTTCCTTTTGAAGCCCCCGCGCATTAGCGACAATTTTGTCGTTTACGGAAAGGACATTTTTATATGAAATATAGGCATGTACACATTTGACAACGCGACCAGAGAACGACTCATTTTTTCCTTTCGTTCACATAAAAAAAAAATTCAATATTTGCTTCTGCTAATAATGCCATAGGGGCATAACCGGGTACTTAATATATTTCTCCTGCTAGCAAAGGTCAAATGGCAAAAAGAACCTTGTATACCGTTGAAAATCTTAATTCGACCGTACAGAATCAGGAAATGAGAGACCGTCTTTGAAAAAGCTATTTAGAATATAGAAAATCAAGATTGTTTGGAAGTGTGCAAATATTTATTCTATAGGTGTTGCTAATATCGGGTACCTATTAAAAACACATAAAATATGATATAATTATAAAATCTTTATTTCTATTATTATAAAACGGTGAAACTGTAGAAACACTACCTACCCTTAAATTTTGATGATTTTTGGATGTGTTGTAGAAATCAATATTTTAAACAACTCTTTCCTATACGTAGAAAGGATGCATTCGCTTAGTTTCTGAGATATTCGCGAAAAACTGGCATTGAAAACCATTGAAATCGGAGGTAGGCAGCTTTTCGACAAAAGTAATAAGGATATCTTGCAAAGGAAAGTTATTTTATATGATTTTGACAAATATTGGCTTATTTCAGTTTATATTAACTTATTTTAGCTTGCATTAACTTTTTTCAATTATTTAGACATTTTTTTTTCGTATGATCTTTTTCCGAATCCGAACAATTTCTTGTTCGAGCTGGTTTTTATATTGTTCCGATTATAGCAAAAAGGAATGAATACTGAAACACATTTACACTATAGATAGAAAGCAAGCACAGCAAAGCAGCACTGGTTACCGATTTTACCACACAATCAAATACCCAATCTTATAATTTATATTAGATATATACACTTCAGCATGCGATAAGAGATCGAGTGAAATGTGAAAAAACCGTGTAAAAACTGCAAAATATAATTCAGTATTTGTCGTAATAATGTTTTAAATTCAAGCGATAAAGAATTATTAATTTACCAACACAACACTAATACTTTCCAACCTGAAATTTTTTAACTTCACTGGATGAAACACTATGATGTTTTCTGCTCTACTCTTATGATCTCATAATAACTTAAGGTTAGCCCAAATGTAATACCATACAGTTTGTCTTACATACCCGGTTACACCCTACGTTCCTCTATTATATAATATAAATGCTAAAGTAACAGTTTTGTCGCTAATGCGCACACAACCTTACTGCCTAAATTTCTGGAATATGTTTCCAAATGTCTTGAACGATCATACGTATGTTTCGTGATACGTAAGGTAGATACGTGACCACGAAGGTTTCTACAATATCGTTGCTGAAGCATGAATCTATTCTTTATAGACCAGAAATAAGAAATGTTAGTAAGATGATTGGATGAATCTTTTATATTCAATACTGTATACTCAGTACTGCAACAATTTATGTTATTTTCACTATTATAGGTAGCACAAGTTATTTGATATCGGATAAGTATATACGTATGATTAATATTATAGTTATTACTGTCTATAAGAAAATTAGGTTCATTCAATTTCATCTTTCTTTTTTTCAATCTGTTTGCGACTCCGTAATAGACGAAAAATTGCTTCTAAAATTACTCGTTCAAAAAAGATAAACTGCGCTTATCAGAATGTATTGAAATAGCATTGTAGTCGATTTCAGTTATTCGAAAAATTATAGACGATATCAAGAATCAGAATTTTTATTGTATGAACTGCTCATTGTTTAATTAGTTTAAGTAAATAAATATGAAAAATCTTAATTATTAATAGGTTTTTTTTATAAATTAATTCTCCGTATAAAAATTTAATAGCAATAGTATTTGTAATGTTTCGGAGTGCCTTATTCCATTCCATTCTTTGCAGAAAAATATTACAGACTGTCGAGTAATACTCTACGGATTTTGAATAGTGTATTTTGTAATTCTGCTTATTATTACTACTGGGAATGATGATATTTACTGAGACCGGTAGTGCTGGAACTAGTAATCAAGTTTATTGGAGAAATAATTACAAAGAAGAACGGTAAATATTTCAAAATAAACTTTTATTATTTACATAATATGATATAGATTCTATGGTATAACTATTTTCAAATCAAGCGTAAGTTTTATTGATTAAACACCAATGTCTTACTAACATTAGATTAAGACGGATGCATTATCTCAACATTTCTAAAATTTGTTTAAATATTATTTTATTACAAATTCTACATGAAGACCCGAGGGAGGAACACGATAAGTCACATTTCCTATTTTTTACAGGGAAGTAATTGTAAGATTCAGTACATTATCAATCAGTCTCATATCGCCAAAATTATCTTCATATTTCATTTCGGTGCTAATCATATGTTTTTTCATCCCTATCAAAATTTCAAAATTTGCTTGCATGTTTGGAATCAACAGATCAGTTTCATCTTCAGTTATATCATATCAAAATTCTCCTACTTAATTATAATAAAATCAAAATATTAACAAAAATGCACAATCAAATTGCCGAATAGTTATTCTGTTACTTCCTCGCCAATTTCGATGGCCTTGGAATCAAGGTCATCATTTTGAACAACTTTTTCCTATGCATATAATAGGGATCGGTAGGTTGCAAGTTGCATACAAAAGTATGTTTAGTATCATATATGGCGCGTGAAGCTGTCGATGTGTTACCTTCTAATGAATTTAACGGAATTTTTTTTATATCTTTATAGAGATGTACGAACAATGAAAGAAATAATTAGAAGTCCAATCACTGAATTTCAAATGCACAGGAATAGATAGGGTTAAGCTATTTAAATAGTGGCGGTCCCGTGCAAGTCATGAGGGCAATACCAATAATAATGCGGTTACATCAACATAATTATAATATGGACACATACACGCATATACAGGCAATAATAATATTATCTAATCGACAATTTTGTACAAAATATAGGAAGAAAGTGCATATATGATACCAAATATATGTTTGTGTATAACGCGAAAACTAAAATCGACCACTTCACATATGTATAGGAAAAAATTGTTCAGAATGATGATCTTGACAAAATATTTCAAGGATATCAAAATCGACAAGGGGGTAACTATTTGGCAAATTCACCAAATGTATTTATTATGCATTCCTCCTCTGACAATGAGAAATGTTCTTCAAATAGAATTTTTAAATATTCCCGCCATTTTTAACTTATTTCCTCTACAAAAGATGGCACTATAATATCACGTAATGACCGCAACCTTAGCGTGTTGCAAGTTACCTATCCAGTATCGAACTCTGCATCGCAAGTTACGGTTATAAGCATACTCGGAGTTTGTTATTCATTTGATTGGTGTGTTGTATGTGTTTATATTGGTTTATTGTGTAAAAAGTACAAAATTTTCATAATGAGTGCTGAGGAAGAAGTGCTACGGATTCAGAAAAAATTAAATAAGATGTCGAGCGGAGACGGGACGGTGAGTAAGTGAGTAAAATATAGTTGTGTACCCTGCTCGGCATATTGGAGGCTGTTCATTAAGCAAAGCTCTTTTCCAATATAAATTGTGATTACTCTAATACATCATCGTAAATGTTTAACAAATACAAAGAAATATAACAAATACAAATATTGTTTGAAACTTTTCTCCAGAAATATATGTTTATTCGTATAAATTTTTGTATACACAGTAATTCGATGGTGTTAAAGCAACAAAACGTATTTATGGAACTTTAATATTTGGCACGATAATTTTAATGCATTCATGAAACTTGAGAAAGGCGAGTCATGTTATTTTCGTTGTAGAATTTTCGAAAATGCAGCTTATAAAATTTTCTATACACATAAGTATTGAAGTCGTCGTTAAAGTCGCACTAATTCAAAGCTCATTAGTATAGACTTTTTGTTTATGCTATAATTATTATTTGTATATATTTACATATATATATTATATATATATATTATTTGTATAGTTCAACTGTTTACATTTAACGTCGCTTTAAAAAAAATTATCTGTTACATACACAAATTATATCCTTATATAAAATTGGTTACAATGCATGTTTTGATGATAAAGATACATAATAACAATGTCTTCAGTAGATTATATAAATATCATGTATGCCTATATGTGTAGTCTACATTAAAGAAATATAAATGGATTATGTATACTTAGATTTCCTTTTATAATAAAAGTGTGTTCATATTACAGGGGCAAGAACAAGCACTGGAATTACTTAAAATATTACAAAAGTTACCTGTGGATTTGGAACTTCTGACCAAGACACGCATTGGAATGACAGTGAATGCATTAAGAAAATCAAGCAGAGACGAAGAAGTTATATCGTTATCAAAAACTCTTATTAAAAATTGGAAGAAATTTTTATCTGGTAAGAAAATAAATTTAAATATAAAATTAAAAATAAAAAAGTAAACATAAAAGTAAAATTTCTCTTAGATAAATTAAAATTCTATATCTTTCCCATAGGGTCCAATAAAGAAAAAGATTCTACTTCTTCAAGCAGTTCAAAGAAGAAAGACGATAAATCAGAGAAAAGTAAAGATGATGGAGAACAGAAAAAAGAAAAGGATAATGCAGATGGAAGTGATGTTAAAATGAAGGAAGAGAAACCTCATAAAGATATTCAAAGAAAACAGTCTACGTTTCCTGCTCCTACAACCACAGATGCTGTACGGCTTAAATGTAGAGAGCTACTGGCAGCAGCTTTAAGAGTAGATGGAAATACAATTGATGGCTGTGCTACTCCAGAGGAATTAGCAGAAGAACTCGAAGAAGCAATTTATGCAGAATTTAAAAATACTGATAATAGATATAAGAACAGAGTAAGGTCCTAATTCCTTTATATTTTTATATTTTGCTGTAAATGCGAAACCTAATTATATATATCTAATTATTTAGGTGCGAAGCAGAGTCGCTAATTTACGTGACGCAAAAAATCCTAATCTTCGAACAAATTTTATTGCTGGTGCTATAACACCTGCTAGGCTTGCTGTTATGACTGCAGAAGAGATGGCAAGCGATGAAATAAAACAATTAAGGGAACAGTTTAAAAAGGAAGCAATTAATGATGCACAACTTGCTACAGTACAAGGAACGAAAACTGATCTATTAAAATGTGGAAAGTGCAAAAAACGTAATTGTACTTATAATCAAGTGCAGACACGTTCAGCTGATGAACCTATGACTACTTTTGTGCTATGCAACGAATGTGGAAATCGATGGAAGTTTTGCTAAATATCCTTACCTTCCACAGTTTTTTCTGATTGCAATGGACAGGAAAATGTATTTCGTTCAAGACCTACCTATTATTAATCATTATTATTAGAGTTAAAGAAACTCAGTGCAAATATATTGCATATTTACAATTCACAGATTACATTGGATGCTTAATGATGTTTTTAATTTTTCCACGAGTTCAAAAAGTATGTTAGTTTTCATTGAATTGTATATACTCATATTTGATTGATTTACCAGAGGTCTCATAGGATTTAAAAATTAGAGACTCATAGAAGCTTTATAGGACCTAAAACATATTAACAAAGAATTCATTAAATTAAACAAATTGAATGATACATGTTTTTATTTTGTGTATATACAGCATTGTCGCTGTAAAAAAGTTCGGATATGCGACTAACATTAAAATAAAAATATTTTGTTTTATATTGCACGAGATTACATCGTATTTTATCTGTGAAAAATTAGAAATTGTGGGTACAGTTCTGAAATACATGTATGTAATTACATTGTAGTATTTTTGGAACCCTTTTTGACAATATAGTAGTTAAAAATTTCATATTTAAAAATAGATATGATATATGATTGCGAATGTAAAAGTTTCATTTTTATTTAAATTAAAGAATTTTTATTATCTGAAAAAATTGGATTGGTTAAGTAACAATTGTACATATGTTACCGTACAACCACACACGGGTATAATTTTTCTTTTTGTCGATTGACTTTACCATAAACTTGATAGTTTTTATGAATCACCGTTGGGGGCCGCCACTGCACTCGATGTTTCTAGCAATTTAGATTTAAGGGTTTACGTACTTCAACGCGTACGCTAATTTCTAACCTAATATCAATGTCATTCGTGTAACTATTAAAGTATGTCCATCAGTATGTACTTTTCGAATGGTTTCTAAATCTTTTACGGTTTATTAACAGATCATGTAAAAGAATGAAATTACGTGATTCTGTTTACGTTAAAAGATAGCATATGAGTATTATAGTAAAATTGATCGTAATGATGTAACATTTAAAATGAAGTTTTTTGACGGTAATAGAAAATTTAATAAATATCCAGGAAAGCATAAGTAACGTTTTTCAATAGCTATACATAATGTTTATATAATATGTAACGATCGTTAACTTTTCTGAAATATTTGATGACATAACGAAAAATAATTAAAGAATATATTAAAATAGAAAGTGAATGATTCCTGATCATCACTATGTGCGGAGACGCCCACATCAAAGAGCAATGGCAACTTTTGCAAAACCTTCGATCTACGGTAGAAGGTTTATTGGTCGATGGTGTTTTAAACGTATGGGATGTTTACGGTGGTTTAAATCGTCTTCACAATGTAATGGAAAGGATATTCAAACATGGCTGTCGAATATTTAATCGAAATGTAAGATTAAATCCTTTAACTTGTTTTTGCTTGACATGCATAGTTATTAATATGATATAATTTACTTGTATTTGTAATTATACTTGGCCATATTTTATTTTTGCCTCTTTATTGTTTAATACAATTAAATTTTTGATTGCAATGTAATATGAAATTGTACTATGTTATAATTGTTTGTTTACATTGACAGTGACATTGGTTTTTTTTTACTTTCATTGAAGATGTCATCTTCTTTTATATTTAGAATAATTTTACTATTTTTACTTATGGTCAATATATTTTTATATTATTTACATAGAGAAATACTTAATATAAACTTAATGTTGAAAAGAATTTAATAAAATTTATTATAAGGGAGAACCGGATTGTTGGATTTTTATTCAAGGATTAAATTGGCTGCAGCCCTCTGTAGCATTGTCACCTGTTGTTCCTGAAACAGAAGATTATCTTTCAAATTTACCAACTCGAATTGTCTCACACAAAGATATGTTATGGCTGTACAAGAGGTAATTACCAAAAGGAACATGTTGATTTAATCTATTAGTGTTTATATATATATCAGATACTTAAATTTACATAACATAATTTAATAATTATTATGACATAGTTTAGAAAGTCATTCTTTGTCACATAAGCTTCCATGGCTTTTGTCTGATAAGGAACATTTACTTTCTTGTTTTGAACCATGGGCATTTTTGTGTCAAGAAAACTTAGCTGAAGCCACACTCTTATGTTTAAGAGCAGTTGAAAGAAACCAACCTACATTGCTTACAGAAATTGATCCATCCTTGGTAAGTTGTCCAAAAACAATTTTATTTATTGTAATGTGTATATCATTGTATTTGTATGATTGATACACATTTTAATCTAATCGTTCACTTAGTATTTTTGTTTTTAGTTTTTACCTTGTTGGATTTCTCCTAAAACAAGTCCAAAGAGACATCGTCGATCTTCTTCATATCCAATTAATTTCTCAACAATAAATCTTAGTGTTGCAAGAGATAAAGTAATACATATTGAGAATTGTCAATTAGAATCATTAAAAATAGCTTCAGACAACAAAATTATGCAACATGATGATGTTAAATCTAATGAAAAATATGAAGATAAATCATTAGATTCTAAAGAAATTAATGATATACCTTTGAAAAGTTGGAGTAGTCTTTCAGTACTGACTAAAAATTGTACATCTGTAGAAAAAAGTGCTTCTGCATCTTCATCATGTGTTGCAAAGAGTAGTTCACATAAAAGTAATGATCCTCAAACATCTCCTGTTGAATTATCAAAAATAATTAATGTAAATTATGCCGAATTAAAACATTCAACATCAAATGTGGATAATAAACAACTTGTAAAGCCAAGGACTCCTGTAAGGAAAGTACAAAACAAAACTAAAGCAAAACAGAATCAAAGTATGAAGAAATCTAGCGAAGATTCTGATGTGTTAAATTCTGAGGATACATCAATAAATGCAGTAGAAGAATACCGGATTCCTTCTTTTATACCAAATGAAGGAAATCCAAATGCATATAACACAAATTCTACAGAAATTAGAATTTCTCAAACGCCAAGAAGAAAAACTTCTCTTTTATCAGGTTCAGCGCCTGAATTCACTAGTCCATGGAATTTAGAAATTGAAGGGCAAAAAGATATAAGAACAGCAAAGAAGAGTTTCATGGAAGATGGAGGAAGCAGTGTTCAACCTATGGCAATAGGATATTTTCCGCGTCCAACAGAAGGTCAAAGTTTAACAAATTTTTTAGCTTCTGCACAATTTTCTAGAGCAAATGCTGAATTGGACAGAGAAAACGCACATTTCAGTGTTTCCGAAGCAATGATAGCTGCCATAGAACAAGTAAAATGTAATAGGCAATGGCGTCTTATGGAAGAAGCAACTGAAGAAAGCGACGAAGAAATAAATAGCTTAAAACAGAGGATACGATTAAGACGGCGTCAGCGACAGGAAGAGCGGTACAAAGGAAGGACGTGGAATCGCGAACTACTGAGTGATGGCAAAACTGATACTACAACCACTGATCAAAGTGTTAGTCCATTATCAACTTCGTCTGATGCTCCCTCAGAAAATATATCTACAGATGACATAGAAGATTTAGAAGTGGATGACGAGCGAAATGCAGTAAAACTTAAAAATGCTGGAATTTCCATATCCATGGCATCTTTATATTCAGATGCAGATTTGTATCAATCATCCCCTGCACATGGAACAGAATCAACTTTAACTGAGAGTAGTATGTCCGCGGAAGGGGTAGCTTTGTCACTTCTTAGTAAATTTAGTGAGAAACAATTACCGAGAGCGAGTGAATTACAATGGCTGGTCTCTGAAAAGGATGTACCACAAAGATTGTTACCATTACCAAAAAGTTGGCCAATAAATCCAGATGATGCAGAAAATTCACAGTCAATTCCTCTGCGTGGAACAACAGAATGGGCTCCACCAAGACCTCAAATTATTTTTACATCACATCCTCCACCAGTGTACGTTTATGAATTTAGCAGATACATATATATAATTTCATTATTCATTTAAACATGATATTTTTTATACATAGGCGACGGACTCTTATAGCCAAACAGAATTACAGGTGCGCAGGATGTGGAATGAAGGTTGCAATAAAATATGCAAATAAATTTCGTTACTGTGAGTATTTAGGTAGATATTTCTGTACTGGATGCCATACTAATCAGGTAGCATTAATACCAGGAAAAATTTTAACTAAGTGGGATTTTAACAGGTATAACAATTAATAAGACAACATACATTTATAATTTATAAAATGATACTATATATATATATTCATTTATTTGTCCATTTAGATATTCTGTATCAAACTTTTCATATAGACTGTTGGATCAAATGACATCAGATCCATTATTTCAAATAAATGACTTAAATCCATCATTATATAGACGAATAAAACAATTAGCCAGAACAAGATTATTACGTTTACAATTATTTTTCTTTAAAGATTTTCTATTTACATGTCGATTTGCGACAAGGTATGCATTTCAAATATTTTTTCTTTTTTATTATGAAAAAGATAATATTCTGAAATTTGTGTTACTTCTTTTAGTGTTCAAGATATACTGAAGAAGGAACCAAATTATATAATAAGTGAACCCCATGTATATTCCATTCAAGATCTGATGCATGTTAAATATGGTATCTTGCCAATGAGATTGCAAGAATTAGTTGAAATGTGTAATATGCATATTATGGGCTGTGAGGTAGTGTTTTTTATAGTAAATATTTATATTTTTAATGAAAGCCGAGTTGTGTATGTTATATATTTGTACTTTTAATAAGATCTAATCTTGTTTTTAGCTATGCCAAGCTAGGGGATTTGTATGTGAGCTATGTCGTTCCAAAGATGTCATATTTCCGTGGGAATTCACAAAAGTTAGTAGATGTGAAATGTGTGGTGCATGTTTTCATAATGAATGCAAGCAGAATTTTAATAAAGTAGATTGTCCACGCTGCATTCGTTTACATGATAGACGAATATCTAGAGAACAATTTTGACATACGGTAAGATTATCTTGTGTCATATTTTTAGATATAAGTATCGAATTAATAATTTATAAATTTCATTTAAATTATTATTTGTAAAAAAAAGATATTCCCAAATTGTGCTTTGGTTTCTATTTATCATATTTAATACAAAATTGAAATTGTCAAGTAGCAACAAGTAAATTCAAACTACCAAAAATCTCCATTATATTATTAGTTACATAGATGTGTTAAAATGTAAAAGTTATATTTTAATTTAAAAAATTTAATATATTTGCAAATTTCACGAATTGAAACATTCTATTGCTTGAAACGCCTAAAGTATAGCATTTTATAAAAAAATTTACTTAATATAATTATGTACATTACAAATGTAGTAAAGACTGAGAAAATGTGATATTTAAAGTAATTGTAACTTTATTCTTGAAGTATTTTTTCTATTTATTTTTTTTTATATTACATAATTACTCATGCTGTAGTACGTATACTGTTACCAGTCAACACGAAAATAGCGATATATATAATTTATTTATAAGTTTTCGACTTAAATAATATAAATTATTTCAATGTGACAAAAGGTAGTGTAAATATTACGTATTTGCAAAATGTATTATTCTAATATGTATTTATAGCTTGCTTTTATTTTTTTAACTATGAATTAATTTGATAGACGTTTAATATGATTAAAAATAAAATAAAAATAAATTATTACATGTTATAAATATTGATTATAAAGTGGTAATAATATTTTTAGTACAATGGTTTATAAAAATATTATCTTTATACTGAAAAAATATAATAGTCGTAAATGCTGTACCTGGTTCCTATCATGATTGAAAGTATGCATTGTTTATTTATAAAAGTTGTTAATATGGTCGAAGTTTATAATAAAATATTAAAATCTAATAAGATGTTTTATTTTCCGGAAGTATTTGTAATATATGTATTACAAATAAGGTACAGAATAGGTGTGATATGCAATGCTCTTTCGTGTCCTACGTTTTGGGGATTATCTGATATTCCCTTACCACTTTCGTACTATATGTGACGTTATCGATTCAGTATATAGTACTGGTTTGAATTAAAACTAAATAAAGCATTGTACGTACGAAATTATAAATAAAATATAGATCAGGTTATGAGACACAGAGTCCCATTTAATGTCCGTCTATTCTGTATGTTTCATTGCCTTAATAAATTGTATTGGAAGATTATATACAAGAATGATATGTACAAAAAATGAAAAATCATTATTTTTTATTAAATTACATCTCGTTTACAATGGTTCACATACACACATCTTATAAAATAATAGGTAATACATTCACTGCTGGTACAAAAATATGATATTATGTACACCACCTAATGTCAATAAGTCTTACTATGTAGTATTTCTATATGATAAATTTTTATTATAAAAAAATCACTCTAAATTTGATTTAATAAGTGTTAAAAATATGTACACATCGTTAATTGTGTTTACTATGTACAACTACCCTCCTGATCCAACATGTTCTAATTGATAGGCACATGCCTTGCATAAATATTGTTTATGAGAAAATCGTGATGAATTTGACTGTACCAAAGTTTTGAATACATATATATCACAGGTGGTATTTTGTAAAGAACATGCCTTACAGACACAACTAGTGACTATGAGTAAAATTCGAAAAATAGACCTCTTTGTTACACTTATAATATGTATGCAACTAACTAAAGTAGTGAAGAATACAATTTTACTTATAATAGCAAATAATGAGAAATTATTTCCTCTATAAACTACATATTTATATATATATACTGAAATTTATTAATTTCGTGCAATGTATCAATCGAAAACATCTAAATTTTTTAAATTCCTAAATTTCTTTATGAAGGAGGAAATAATCTCTTACTTTTGATAACGAGTGTAATGCGTAAAAATATATATTCGTCGGTATTTCATGTAACTATCCTTAGGAGCATACAATTTATTATCAGTCTATAAAGTGCAACAACAATGCATAACAATACGCCACTCTCTATAAAATATGAGTACCACTTAATTTTCTATTTACTGATATTTGAATATGTGTACCAACCAAATCTTTAGTAAGACATCATATAATAGCATTATATATAAATAAAAAAAGGAGTAAAAGATTCATTTCAATCTTAACATGCTAAAAAACGGATTTAAAAATATTAATTTTTATCAGAATTTCAATGAAGTATAAAAGTGTGGCGCTAAAATAAATTTCTCAACAAAAAAAAAAAAAAAAAAAAAAAAAAAAAAAGAAAAAATTAACTTACAAATACTGAGATTGTAGATAGAAATTACTAATATTGTATAAATACTAATAATAATAAAAAAAAAGAAAAAAATATAAAGGAGAGAAACCGTGTATTTACCGATTCTTTTGGACATGTTAAATTTATACTGAGCGTAATTTATTTGATTTTTTTATGGCGCATAGATAACTTGAAAATTTTCTTATTGGAATTTCATTATTACATAAATTAGCAATCATTTTGATTTATAAGTTAATGCTCAGTGACCATCTCAATTTTTTTATAAATGTCATCATAGATTACCTAGCAATAATTAGGCAATCCTATATATTATTGGCAACTACACATCTTTACTTAAACTAATTATATATTTAAAGTATCTTTTAATGGCAGCGTTGCTACTTCAAAAAATATCCTAAAATAAAAATTATTTGTAAATTTCATTGTTATTTTAATCTCCATTTAGTTTTTCTAATTATATATTAGAGATATATATGAAGCATATTGATATACTTACTTGTGACTGTATTTGTTGTGTATAGTGGTGAGAGTTTCTTTATGTTTCCGATGTAGTCCATCTTCTTTAAGATTCCGATGTAACCCTTGGTTCATAATATTTACGATGTCTCGTATGTCATCAACACTATAACCGCTATAATATTTTAGAGTAGGAGTCCACCCTCCTAAATCTTTCATTTGTAATGCCAGGAGGAGTGCAGATGCAGCCATTTTACTATCGCTGAACATTATTGTCGAATAATCCATTAATGAGTATTCAAGAATATATCGAGCTAAAGTTAATGTTGGCATCGACACTTTTGCACACTGTTCGAAAACGACATAATTATAATTTGTTACATTATGATAAAAAAAAGTGTTATTAACGTAACTCACCCTAGCATATCGTCGAAGAAATCGATAAGAAAGTGGTATACCAAGATCAAAATCGACTACTTTCAATATGCTCATTTCCATTCTAATTAATTCTCTTTGTGTGTAAGCACCGTCACATATATACAAAAAATCTTCCACCATTGGAGGTATTCTTTCCTTTAAAATTATACAATTACAATAACAACGAGAACAATAATGAGAGACGTTAAGTTTGTTTAGAAATTAACCCTTTGCGGACGGGACGATTCGAAGTCAACCGTACCATGAGGCCGGGCTGCTGCCGCGATAGTCATTTAAAATTGCTAGCACACATTTCTGCTTAGACGCAATTTTCGTTCATAGCACTCCAAGATGTCAAATTCTAAACATATGTACACGCACAGTTCCTCCATAGGATAAATAAAATGACACACGTATGAGTCTTTTATATATACGCATATATGAGATACACGAGTTTCTCGACCATAGCGAAGCGTTTATGTGGGACACAGATATGAGTCTTTCGGCTTTATCAGTTGTTTTCGCCAACTGAATATATGAGTTCCTCGGCTAAACTGATGGTTTACATAGAACGCATATATGCAGCGGTAGTCCACAAAGGGTTAAATAAAAATAATACAATTAATTTCAATACTAACATCATATTTACTTGCTATGAAAAGACTTGCTGCTCCCAATAATTGTAATGTTTCTTTTCCAACAATTACTTTCGTCAAGTATAGGTCAACTAGTTTCACAGCCAGATATAGAGTTTCATGATTGAGTTCAAAGGATTCTTGAACTTCTACCATCCAGTCAACTAATAAAGCTCTCATCCATCGTGAGAGGCATACTTGTTTTTCCATATAATCTCCAATTGAAAATAGATGTTCCCTTTCTTTTAAATAATCGAAAATATCCATGGCATAGTGAGAAACTTGAAATGGATCCAACCAATTTTCTACATCAAAATCCCATTGAACACCCTCAGGTAATGTTCTTTCAGGAACAGCATCCAGTTGATTCGTTACTAATTTTTCTTCAACTTCCGCAGGTACTTGGGGCTCACTTGGTTCATTTTTTTCATCTGTTTCCTCGATTTCTTCAGGCTGTTTTTAAATATTTATTTGAACACTTAAAATTCACATAAAAGTACACGATATAGGTAAAGATATATAATAACAAAAATTGCTTACCTGTATATTGCTTTTTCTGAATTTCTTCGTACTGTCATCTCCAATATCATCTAATGCACTTACATACAAAGAACTGTCCTCTGATTTTTCTAAATCTAAACTACGTCTAACCTTTACAATTTTACTAGGTATTTCAACTTTTCCATCATCCTTTTTTACTGGTTTCACACGTGGCACTGGCTTTGGTTTCTGAGGTATTACCTCTGGCTTAGTCACAACTTTTTCAAGCGTTCTAATAGAACTTGTCTGTGTGAAGGGTTTTACTTGAGTAACAGCTGTCTTTTTTACTGTTTTCTTTGGTTCTTGTGTTTGATGTGTCCCCAATGTTTTTCCAATTGCCTTTAATTTTATATGTTCTATTATTATATTTCATGGGACTTTTATCAACAAAATATAAAAGAAGAAAAATGAAAGATTAAATAACATACATTAGTAATATTTCCCAGTGCAGATCTCTTTGTTGTCTTTTCTTTTGGTGGGGATGCTTCTGCTTTTCTTTTGACACGGGGATCTTTACCGAGAACAGGTGGCTTAACTAAAACATTGTTTAGTGCAGAATTTTGACTTCTCGTGGCTATTCTTTTTCTTGTATTTGTCACATTAGTACCACTTTGTTTATTTTGTATATTTAAAATTTTTGATGGAGCCATCCTTATAATTACTTAAGATTAAAATTCAGATTTTCCCCTATATAGGAATTAAATATTAATATATTAGATTTAATGTATAATTTTACAGTAATAAAAATACAATCAACGACTGTTT